CGTAAATAGTATAATTCTCATGCACTATTTGTGCAGAAGTAAAGAAAATAAAACATCCAGATTAAGAAGGGAAAAGAAAAACTACATTTTTCATAAGACATGATCTTACTTGCATAAAATCATAAGGAATCTAATAATAACTATTAGAACTAATATATAGGGCTGGAGACATAGCTCAGTTAGTACTGAGTGCTTGCCTTGCATGCACAAGGCCATGAGTTCAATCCCCAGCACCAAAAAAATAGAACTAATATATGAAAGCAACAAGGTTGAAGAATTCTAAATCAATAAACAAAATTCAATTTTATTTCTATACATAAGAAGTGAACAAACTAAAAGAAATTAAGAAAATTCAATTTATGATAGTATCAAATAGAATAAAATACTTAGGAATAAATTTAACAAAAAGTACAAAACTTGTACTCTGAGAATGATAATAAACTGTTGAAAGAAATTAAAGATTCAAATAAAAGAGAAGACATTCTTATATTTATAGATTGGAAGGCTTAAGATGGCAATATTTCTCAAATTGTTCTGCAGATTCAATACAATCCAAAATTCCAGATTTATACAAAATAGTGGGGTTCATTTTGATATAATAATGCATGTGGGGAATATAATTTGCTTCACTTCTGTCCCCAGTACTTCTTTCAATCTTCCTCTACCCTACCAGTTTTTCTTCTGTGTGTCATTTTTAATCGGTGCATTATAGATATACGTAAAGGTGAAAATAATCCTAAAAATTTTATGGCGATACAAGGAACCAATAATAGCCAATACAATCTTGAAAAAGAGAAGAAAGCCAGGTGTGGTGGCACACATCTGTAATCCCAGCGTCTCTGGAGGCTGAGGCAGGAGGATCACAAGTTCAAAGCCAGCTTCAGCAGCTTAGTGAGGCCCTAAGCAACTCAGTGAGACTCTGTCTCTAAATAAAACATGAAAAGGGGCTGGGGAGGGCTGGGGTTGTGGCTCAGTGGTAGAGCACTCGCCTAGCACGTGTGAGGCCCTGGGTTCAATCCTCAGCACCACATAAGAAATAAATAAATAAATAAAGGTATTGGTCCAACTACACCTTAAAAATAAATATAAAAAGGGGGGCTGGGGATGTTATTGGCATCAGATTTGCCATTTTAGGGTGGGAGCCATTTTATTTAGAGCCTCCAAAGTTTCAATTCTGAGGCAATGCTGCTTAACTTCCCTTAAGAACATGTGCTGCTAAATGATCAACCTTATCCCAGTTTATGACACAACTCCCAAGCAGCTTATGAAATTCCTTTACTTCCTTTTATGCCCATATAAAGCTTCTCTGTAAGTACCAACACATTGCTGCTCTCCTCCCTGGGACAGCCTTGTCGATTTGCCTTGTGCTACTGACAATAAATCATCTTGAGTGAGATTCCTGTGCATGGCGTGGTCTTTGTACTTTGTGTGGACTCTGAGAGTGTCCTTTCAGATGTGGCTCAGTGGTAAAGCACCCCTGGGTTCAATCCCCAGTACTAATAAGAAGAGAGAGACAAGAAAGATTGAGGACTCACACTTCTGACTTAACATTCAATACAAAACTATGGTAATTAAGACAATGTGATACCTGCAAAAGAACAGACTTACAGATTGATGGAATACAATTGAGAGTACAGAAATAAAATCATATATCTATGGTCAACAGATTTTCTACAAAGGTGATAAAACTATTCAGTGGGGAAAATAGTCCAAATACAATAAGTTCTGGGATAACTGATATTCATATTCGTAAGAATAAAGTTGACCCTTACCTTCTGTCATATAGATAGCTAGATAGATAGATATGTATTATGTCAAGTCAATGGAGGTGGCTGGAGAACAAAGCACCAAGCAACCCGTGCATGAAAGAAACACCAATCAGACACTGAGTGATCTGCCTGTCAATCACTGGGATCTCCTGGACAATCCTGGATCTTAGCCAGCTCCCCCAACCAACCCCAGTAGGACAAGGGACTCTAAAAACCCCTTTTCCTGTCCCAAGCCCTCCCTTCCTGCCCTAAGCCCCCCCAAAATTCCAGTCCAGTGGAGCCCCATGCACTTCTCCTTAGACTCACTCTACTGTTCTGAGGATTCTGCCTGGGAGCAAAATCTCAATAAAGCCTCCTTCAGCAGCCTTTTTAATCTGCCTCCTTTTGGTCACCAATGTCTCACCTTTCTCTCTCTCTCCCTCTCTCTCTCTCTCTCTCTCTCTCTCTCTCTCTCTCTCTATATATATATATATATATATATATATATATATATATATATATATATATATATTTTAGAGATAGGTTCTCTGTAAGTTTCTTGGGGCCTCATTAATTGATGAAACTGGCTTTGAACTTGCAATCATTCTGCCTCACCTACCCAAGCCACTGGGATTATAGGCATGCCCCACTGCACCTGGCTGTCATATATAAAATGAAGCCAAAAGAATGAAAGAGCTAAAATATTCAAACTGTCAGAAGAAAATAGAAGAGAAAGTCTTTGTGATCTTGGATTAGGCAGTGGCTTCTAAGATAAAACACTGTGATAGTTTTTCATCCCTGTGATCAAATACCTAAGGAAAAACAACTTAAAGGAGGAAAGGTAGAACATTATGACAGAAGGGCATGGCAGAGAAAACTGTTTACCTCATGACAGCCAGGAAGCAGAGAGAAAGGAAGGGACCAGGGACAAAAAGTACCCTTCCAGAGTACACCCCCAGTGACCTAATTCTTCAAACTAGGCCCCACTTTCTAAAGTTTCTGCCACTTCCCACTAATGTAATCAAATTATTAATCCATTAGTGGATTGATTTGCTGCTGAGATCAGAGTTCTCGTGATCTAATCATTTCCTGAAAGTTCCAACTCTGAAAATGTTCCATTAAGGAACCAAGCCTTTGACACTTGAATCTTTGGGGAACATTGCAGATCCAAACCATAACAAACACCAAAATCAACAAAAGAAATAGACAAAAATAGCTGATATGATTGTATTTGAGTTGGAGAGGGAGGAATTTTACAGGATTTGTTGGCTGATGAGGCAGAGAGGATCTCCAGAGAGCAAGCTGATAAAGTGATGCATCTGAGGGGGCAAGGAGCCGTGGGTGTTAAGGGCAGTCCTGGAGTTGAGACTCTGCCAAATAATAGCCCAAACAATAAAACTGGAATCTCTGGAGGCTAGGAAAATATCCATTTCAAGGGGAGGTTGGAGAGGGGTGAAGGAGTAAGGTTGCAGGGCATGCACTCCAAAATAAGGAATCACAGGTGGGTAAATGCTTCCACCCCTCTTTATCAGGACACCTTCCAGCATGCAAATAGGGTGGAGATAAGGCCTAGGCTGCACCAGAGAATAGATGTGTGGGAGCAGGGCAAAGCCGTAGGAATAGGGGCTCCAGGTGCAGAAGGAGAACCTTTGACTTAGGTAGCTGCCTATAATTTCGGATGGATGCTGGTGAGAAAAGAAGAGGCAGGGAGGATGATTAAGGACTCTATCATAGGCCATGTCCAGGGCCATGGGGACACCTAACTAACCAAGGTTGTATTGGAAGAATAATATTCACTGAATTATCTATTGGTGGACTTTGAGTAGTAAATGCCCTGCCTCTAAAAGTGTTTCACAGCCTCAGACACATCTGAATCACTTGGGTCTGCAAACAGAAAACTAAAGCCCCCAATGAAAATAGGAATGACACAATCCAAACTCCCCACATGACGTTGGATCACTTGCCCCCTAGCTATCCATATCTTAGATAAATTTGATGAGTTGTAGTTTAAAAGGTCCCTCAGGTGTAGTGGGGCATGTTGTAAACCCAGAAACTCAGAAGGCTGAGGCAGGAGAATTCCAAGCTGGAGGACAGTCTCAGCAACTTCCCGAGGGCCTAAGCAACTTAAATAGACCCTGTCTTAAAAATAAAAAAAAAATTAAAAGGGGCGGGGATGTAGCTCAGTGGTAAAAAGTGCTCCTGGATTACAATCTCTAGTACCAAAGAACAAAACAAAACAAGTCTCTCACTCTACAATGAGTGCCTTGCTATAAAGTCAGGATCAGTCCAGCAGATATAGTGCTCAGCCTGTGTTTTGAGGCCCAACTGCATGTGAAAGTTAGGATTTTCTATAATATCTATGGCATCAACATTGAACAGAGAGCTCTTGTTTTGTTTTGTTTTACTTTGGTCAGGAATTGAACTAAGGGGCACTGGACCACTGAGTCACATCCCCAGCTCCCCCCTGTTTTTGGTATTTTTATTCATTTATTTATTTTATGTGTCACTGAGTTGCTTAGTACCTTGCCATGACTGAGACTGGCTTTGAACTCGAGATCCTCCTGCCTCTGCTTCCCCAGCCACTGGGATTAAAGATGTGTGCTGCCAAGCCCCGCTTTACAGAGAGCTCTTGCTTAGAATTGACCACTAAACCCTTTGTGGGGTAGAGTAAATGTGGGGAAGTGGGGCTGTTTGAGGAGCACGTCAGGGAACCCAGAGGTAAAGGAAGAGAAAAGGACCCTGAGGCAATGAAGAATGAGGGCTGGGCATCTGGGAGCGACAGTCTGGGAGACGGCCTCCTTCTTTAGGGTAATGTACCTGCTCCACCTTCCAAGCTAGGTGCAGGCCTTGGATGAATAATCCAACAGATGAGAACCTCTACACTAAGAAGTGAACAAAAGAGTCCAAGGCCTAGCGGTTTCAGATTGGCCACCCCATTTCTGCCCCTCCCCCAGCACGTGATGGAAGGAATTGCAAAGGGGAGGAGCCACGAAGTCCCACCCACCATCTCTCTGCATCTCAATGGCTTGCTCTGAATGCACTACTCTCCCATTGGCTGGGCCAAGGGTGCTGCTCTCCAGAGCTCCACAGGTGGTGATCCACTCCAGACTTGAGTGGAGCCTGCATTAGAAGCTGGGCTACTTGGTGAAGAGAAGAAGTGCTGCCCACAACAGCTGCTGTGGATAGACCTAAATAGAAGCCAACCTCACACCTAGTGTTGCTAGGTGGTCAGGCTCTGCTGGCGACAGCACCATGCACCGTCTTATTTCCCAGGCTCTTGCCTTCTTCCGAAGGAAAGCTGATTCGGAGGTAGAGAGGGCACAGCATCAGAGGCTCTTGGAAGGTAACTCATTTATCCCCTCCCCCAAGGGACCAGCCCACAGGGTTATACCCTACCTCTGTTCTGGGGTATCACAGACTTAGAAAGTCCCTGCATGCCACCTATGGTACTAGGGCATCCCTGAAAACCAGAGTTCCCCCTGCTGGATGGACTTGGGCCCTCTGACCTGTGGTCCAAAATGGCTAAGGGTATAAAAGGCAGACAGAGACCCTGGAGGCCAGTTCCCCATCCTTGCATTTCACCAGATACTTTGAGAACTTACCTTGTGTAGATACCGCGTGACTGTGCAACATATTTCTTTTCATATTTACAGTAGTATTTGAGGTTGATTTGATTTTGTATCCTAGTGGGTATGAATTCGAAATCAAATGGATGAATCATATATATCTGTTGCCAGTAGGAGGCAGAGACCTTCTTTAACTTGTTCAATATTGTATTCTAAAAACCTTCTCTGAGTCTGGCACCGAGTACATGTGTCGAAGAGTCCAATCAAACGTGTGACAGTTCGCTGGGTGGACGCTTGTGTGCTCTGAATTATATTGATTCTAATTTGTGGTCAGCGCTTGTATGGGCTATCGGGGCTGCTTGTCATTAATACCTACAAAACCCCCATGAGAGTAGTGCTAGTATTGCCATGTCCATACAGCCCAAACAGGAAAGCAAGGGCACTCAGCTAATGTGCGGCCCAGCAGAATTCAAACCTGATGCTCATCTCTCACCTTCACTCTCAGCTCTTCCACAAAAATAAATGCAGTGTCCTCAGGAGGATGGTGAAAGAGACTCCCCTTTGGTCTGTAGTGTTTTCTGGGCACGGCCCTGCCTTCCTGGGCTGGGATGTCCTGTGGCTTCTTTGCCAATCCAATGTGAACCCCAAAAGGAGATGACTGGGTCACAATAAAGCTTGCCAGAGAAGGTGGTTTCTCTGTGTTTAACTGACATCTCTCACTGAAGCATCTATTATTACCTCTACTTTTGTTATCTGGGATGCATAAAGAGTCCTTGACAAGCTTTCCTGCGCTTGAATGATGCTTGTCTCCTTTGTCTGTCCATTCTCTTATAATTCATGATTTCAGGTAACAAATTTGGTTATCTTTTTTTCCCAAAATTTCAGCATTTTCTTGGCTTCTATAACCTATTATAATGAAGATTTCTCCCAGCCATCCTATCAAATTACCCAAGACTTTGTGAAGGCACCTAAACCACTGTGGTTCACTCCCTGGGATCTTCAGGCACAATCTCTGGGTTCAGATCCCCATCTGTAGCTTGTTAGTGGTGTTTGTTCAGACAAAAAATAAATCTGTGCTGGGCGCAGTGGTGCACATCTGTAATCCCAGCAGCTTGGGAGGCTGAGGCAGGAGAACCACAGGTTCAAAGCCAGCTTCAGCAACTTAGCGAGGCCCTAAGTAACTCAGTGAGATCCTGTCTCTAAATAAAAAGGGCTGAGGATGTGGCTCAGTGTCGAGTGCCCCTGAGTTCAATCCCTGGTACCCACCAACCACAAAAAACAAAATCTGAGTAATCCAGGTAAACATTTGGACTAGACTTAAATCCCCACATGTCTTTTTTTATGTGACATGTTTTTTTTTTTTTCAATTTTTTTGTTTTTATTAGTGCTTTATAGTTATACATAATGGTGAGGTTCCTTTTGATGCAATCATACATGCATGGAATGTAATTTGCTCCATTTAAGTCCTCACTACTTCCTCTTTCCCTCCACCTCCACATCTCTTTCTGTGCTTTGTCAGGTGAAATGTTTAAGAATTCCCAGATATTGCTTGGGATGCTGTTGGGGATAATGATGAAACCATATAACAATAATGGTTGCTTAAAGGCTTTCTAGAATAAGTTATACTCCATGTATGTATAATATATCAAAATAACCTCTACTGTCATGTATATCTAAAAGAAGAAATGAAAAAATAAAATAAAACTGTGTGTATACATATATATTTATATATGTGTATTTGTATATATGTATATTTGTATATGTGTATTTCTATATACATAAAGGCTTTCTAGATACAAATAGGATAACAACTCATGTTTTCACTTTAACCTGTGAGAGGCATTCACAGTTCTAAGCAACTTATAAGTAAGTACCAGTTAATATTTATAACCACTCTATTAGATATTGTTCATGTCCTGGTTTTCCAGATGAGAACGAGTTCAGGGAGGTTAGCAAATGTGTTGGTCTTATTTAGATAGTAAGAGAAGAGCTGTGATTCAAATTGGGCAGGTTCATCTCAGACTCGGTATTCACTTTAGCACACAGCTGCCTTGAATGTGGATTTACTCTGCTGTACAGAGAAATTATGCAACCAGCTTTTCCACCTGGGCTTTCTGCCTGCAGAATCCTGTACACTTAACCACTGCACTCTACTGTCACATCATCTGTATCTCAATATAGCTCATTTTATTCCTAGATTTAGATCATTCTCTAGTAGGACATATTTGTAGTGTGTGTGTTTGAATTTTATATATATAAATATATATATATTATATATAATATATATATATATATATATATATATATATATATATATATATATATATAATCCCTGATATATTATATATCAGGGATTGAACCCAGGGATGCTTAACCACTGACCCACATTCCAGCCCCTTTTATTTTATTTTTATTTTGAGACAGGATCTAGGTAATTTGCTTAGGGCCTCACTAAATTTCTCAGTCTGACTTTGAACTTGTGATCCTCCTGCCTCAGCCTCTCTAGTCACTTGGATTACATGTGTGTGCCATTGTGCCCTACTGTATGTTTAAATTTGAGAATGATCCTTATATTGTTTACCCATCTCCTAGACGATACCAGGCATAAAACTGTGCAGGGAGTTGTGACAAAGTTCTGTAGTGATTATGGCTGGATTGATGAGTCAATCTACTACTTCAGTACTGATGTGACTGAAAATATTTTGCCTGTGAAAGCTGGACAAAAGGTTACTGCAGTTGTGGAAGAAGATAAAACATCTCATGGATTGAAAGCAATCAAAGTAAGATTTGCATGAATTTTGAACTGTGTTGATTCCTCGGCTCTTTCAACCTTGCTTCTATTTATTCAACCTCTTTGAGGTGCCTGTTAATATAGATGTAGAGTGGAACTTAAAGTCTAACCTATGAGATTGTGTGGGGCATCTTTATTTTTGTTATGACTACTGTTTGCAAAAGTATAAATTATATCTGTTGCTCAGCATTTAAAACTATGACTAACAATGATAATTATTAGAGTCTCTACTATCCTGCAACTTCCCTTTTTGACCCAAGTGATGGATTTCTGCATTTATTGAAATGTAATTGCTAGGTAAACAGACATGATTTTAATCTTTTTTAAAAAATAGCTTTACTGAGATATGATTTATCTACCATAAGCTTCTCTAGTTTTAAAAGTATACCTTGACATATCTAGTAAATTTGCAGAGCTAGGAAGCCAGCACCCCGGTTCAGATATTTATTATTTTGTATGTATATACTCAATTTTTGCATATTATTATACTCATTGACACTGTCAGCAGCAGGCTGTGAGATGACCTGTTGGACAGCATTGGCAAGGATGGAAATATGGTCAATCTTCAAAATCTTTGTTCTTCATCTGAGAAGTGAAAAGCAACCTCATAATTTCATGTGCATTTCTTTAAGTGTTGGTCAAAGTAGAGCAAATAAGAACAGTTATTTATTTGTCAGGGACATTAGAACTATTTGTAATGTTAGGGAAATTAGAGATCTATTAGGAAATTTATGGTATGAATGTTTTACAGGTACTTCTTCTAAGACTGCCTTACAACTTGGGTTTTTGTTTTTTTGTTGATTGGTTGGATGGTTTGGGGTTTTTTGTTCTGTTTTATTTGTTTTTAGATGAAGAAGATAACTTTATTAGAAAAATTAACTGAATAAGAAGATATAGGACTCTTGCCCAAAATCCATCATGCCAGGAAGCTGATTTAGAAGTGGTCTACATAGACTGGTCATGGGTGTTTTTAGACTGGTGAGTGGGTTCCTTTCCAGTGGAGGATGGGTAATTGCAAACTGGCAGGTAGATTCCCATGGGAGGAAAAGGTTCTGAATTGAGGTCAAATGATATACACCTGATCTTAGTTTTCCTGTCACAAGATGTTTTTCAGTTGATTTCAGAGATTTAGTCCATGGTTGGCCAACTCCATTGCTCTGGGCCTAAGATATGGCAGAATATCACAGAAGAAGAGTGTGGCAGAGAAAAGCAGCTCAGGACAGAAAACAAGAAGCAGAGTCCAACTTTATTTTATGGAGTTTAATTTGTGTATGCTATAAGTGTGTTCATCTTCTCTAAATGGTCTTTGAGTTCAATAAGGATCCTTTCAAAGGCCTATTATATCTCATAATTCACACAAATCTCATTTAAGCCTTCCTCTGAAAGTTATTTATTTGTTTATATCTAAATATTCACTCTGGCTGGAATTGATTTAGGTGTAGCAATTGAAAGAAAAATCCAGATCTTCTTTTGCTAATGGTTTGTTGGCCCCATAAGTTTAATATAATAATACAATTTCACCTTACTGAGTTCAAAGGCATATCATTCACTATAGTCTCATAGGCATTTGAAACTGGGGATGTCCTAGTATGGTCACTTGACTGTATTATCTTGTCTTGCAAGTATGATCAAATGATTTAGTATATTTCAGTGTGTGGTAACCTGGTTTCCCTGTGGAACTTTTGTTTGTTTGGGGAATTTTCCTGAACATTACTACATGTTGGTTTTTCTGTATTTTTACAAATCACTGTGTTCTGCTCCCCTACTACTACTGATAATAGCAACAATCACAACAAAATCTGCTGGTATTTTTTTGTGAGAGGAGATACTGGGGATTGAACTCAGGGGCACTCAACCACTGAACCACATCCCCAGCCCTATTTTGTATATTATTTAGAGACAGGGTCTCACTTTTACTAAGGCTGGCTTTAAACCATGATCCTCTTGTCTCTAGAGCTGTTGAGATTATAGGCGTGCACCACCACACCTGGCCTGCTGGGATTTTTTAATTGGAATGACTTTGAGTTTATAGATTTAATTTAGGGAGAACAGACATAACGATAATAGTCTTCTCCCCCAAAAGCATGTCTCTCCTTTCATATGCTTTGGAATTTTTTTTATAATTTCCTTTGAATGGGGACTGCATATTTCCGAGATTTTTAATAGTCTTGTTCTACTATAAACATACTTTTTATTTAAGTTATTTGTTTAACTTGTAAAAATAAACTATTAATTTTAGGAGAATTTTAAATCATTATCAACATCATTATATGTTGTATTTTGAAATTAATTTTGCTCTCCTAGGGCTGGGGTTGTAGCTCAGTTGTAAAGTGTTTGCCTAGCACATGTGAGGCACTGGGTTTGATCCTCAGCACCACATAAAAATAAATAAATAAAATGAAGGTATCATGTCCATCTACAACTAAATGTGTTTGTGCGTGTGTGTGTATTAATTTTGCCCTTCTATATAGTTCAGTATTGGTTTTTGTTATATAATTTGTTAAATGGCAAACTTACTAAATTCTTTGAGACATACTTTATCATTATTATCATTTAGATGGTGAATGTCAACTGAATTTAAACTTTCTTTAAATTTGAGTGGTTTTGTTGTGCATGGTGGTTCATGCCTGTAATCCCAGCGGCACAGGAGGCTGAGGCAAGAGGAACATGGGTTCAAAGCCAGCCTCAGCAACTTAGATAGGCCCTAAGCAACTCAGTGAGACCCTATCTCTAAATAAAATATAGAAAAGGGCTGGATATATGGGTCAGTGGTTAAGCACTCCTGGATTCAATCCCTGGTACCAAAAAAAATTTTTATGAGGGGTTTTATATTTGCATGAAATAATATATAAATAATTTTAACTCTAGGAAGGATATAATATGAAAAGTAAAAATCCCCTTTTGTGCCCTCCTGGGTTAGTTTTTATTCTTCAGACATGGTATTTTTTGTTGTTTTTACTTTTTTATTTTTTAAATTTACTTATTTTTTTTTAATTAAAAAAATTGAGATGAGATCTCACCATGTTACACAGATTTGGCTCAGAACTCCTGGGCTCAAGCCATTCTTCCTCCTCATTCCAAGTAGCTGGGACTGCAGGCATGTGCCATCACATGGGGCTTGGTTTTTAACTATTAACTTTTTTTCCAGTACTGGGCATTGAACCCAGAGCTTCATGCAATGCATGCAATTGAGTGGCAGGGTTTTTTTTTTTTTCATTCTAATTTGTTATATATAATAGCAGAATACATTTTAGTTCATATTACATATATAGAGCACAATTTTTCATATCTCTGCTTGTATGCAAAGTTTATTCACATCATTCCTGCCTTCTTCATACATATACTTAGGGTAGTGATGTAGATCTCATTCCACCATCTTTTTTTACCCCCTTGTCCCACGCTGCCCCTTGCTCCTCTTTGCCCTATCTAGAGTTTGTCTAACTTTCCCATGCTCCCCCTCCCAACCCCCACTATGAATTAGCCTCCTTATAGCAAAGAAAAAATTCGGCATTTGGTTTTTGGGGATTGTCCAACTTCACTTAGCATTATATTCTCCAAGTCCATCCATTTACCTGCAAATACCATGATTTTATTCTCTTTTATTGCTGAGTAATATTCCATGGTATAGATATACCACATTTTCTTTATCCATTCATCTACTGAAGGGCATCTAGGTTGGTTCCAAAGTTTAGCTACTGTGAACTGTGCTGCAATAAACATTAATGTGGCTGTGTCCCTGTACTGTGCTGCTTTTAATTCCTTTGGGTATAGACCCAGGAGTGGGATAGCTGGGTCAATGGTGGTTCCATTCCCAGTTTTCCAAGGAATCTCCATACTGCTTTCCATATTAGCTGCACCATTTTGCAGTCCCACCAGCAATGTATGAGTGTGCCTTTGTCCCCACATCCTCACCAACACTTATTGTTGTTTGTATTCTTAATAGCTGCCATTCTGACTGGAGTGAGGTGAAATCTTAGAGTAGTTTTGATTTGCATTTCTCTAATTGTTAGAGATGTTGAACATTTTTTCATATATTTGTTGAATGATTGTATATCATCTTCTGAAAAGTGTCTTTCAGTTCCTTGGCCTATTTATTGATTGGGTTATTTGTTTTTATGCAGTTTAGCTTTTGGAGTTCTGATACCCTAGAGATTAGTGCTCTCTCTGATGTGCAACTGGTAATAATTTGCTCCCAAGCTGTAGGCTCTCTATTCACCTCACTGATTGTTTCTTTTGCTGAGAAGAAGCAGTTTAGTTTGAATCCATCCCATTTATTAACTCTTGATTTTAATTCTTGTTCTATAGGAGTCTTGTTAAGGAAGTAGGGTGGCAGGGTTTTTTGTTTTTGTTTTTGTCTTTCAGTAGTGGGGATAGAACCTAGGACCTCACACATGGTGAGCAAATGTTCTACTCCTTGAGTGGCAGTTTTTAACTTTTAGAAATAGAAACCCTCTTCTCCCAGGCCTCTGGATAGTACACCTAATATTCTCATCCCTTTTATTATTGACTTGCCAATATTAGCCAGTATTTATTGACTTTGCATCATAAAAGACATAGAATTTGGCTAACTTGCATTATGCACTTCTCCATTCCCTTTTATTAGTATTGTATTAATTTACATTCATGTGCACATTCTTTTTCTTTATTCTATAGGTTACCACTGTAACTTTAAAATCAACAAGGCAGTTAATTTTTTCACATGTTTAAGAAATAGTATTTCAGGATCTTTTTGATCTGGGAATGGAATCCAGTGCCTTGAACATGGTAGGAAGCATTCTACCACTGAGCTACACACCCAGCCCTTGATCTCAGGATCTTTTTTGTTTGTTTTTGTTATTTATACTATGGATTAAATCCAGATGCACTCTACCACTAGCCACATACCCAGCTTGCCCTTCCCCCCACATACACACCTTTTTTTGAGACAGAGTCTCACTAAGTTGCTTAGGGCCTTGCTACCTTGCTGAGGCTGGCCTTGACTTGTGATCCTCTGTCTCAGCCTCCCAAGATGCTGAGATATATGTGCACCACCACACCTGGCTAATTTCAGCATCTTAAAAGGCAATCTTAACATCTAGAAAATGCAGTATTTATGCCTATTCAACGCTGTTTGGCCCATTGCAACAGAATTTCATCAATTTAAGACACACCACTAATTTAATAATGCAAATTTGAATTATGCATAGATTATGGCTGTCCTCTTGATTTCAGAAATGTTAAAACATCTTAAAATAACAAGAAAGCATCTTAAAATAACAAGAAAGACTGGTTATAGCCTTTACCTGGTTTCCATTTTATTGAAATACATGGTACTTCAGAGGTGCTTTGAATTACATTAATTTTGGTAGGGAGTGTCCTTTGTATTGCATTTCTAGATTTTTGAAAATTAGGGATTATGAATTTCAAATGTTTTTCTAGTACCCTCAAGATCTTCATCTAGCCCCACCCTACCCCCTGTACTTGAGCTATTATTAGGGGGGAAAACACAAATAATTTTCCTAGTAATGAATCATTCTTACTTTATGGGAATGATGTCATTTAGTTATCATGTATAATTTTTTTTGCAGTCCTGTGGATGGAACTCAGGGCCTCTTGCATACTAAGCAAGTGCTCTGCCACTGAGTTTGTTTTTGTTTGTATTAGTTTGTAGTACTGGGGATTGAACCCAGCAGTGCTCAGTGCTTCATTGAGCTATGTCCCTAGTCCTTTTTTTAATTTTGTTTTTTTGAGACAAGGTCTTGCTAAATTGCTGAGGCTAGCCTCAGAATTGTAGTCCTCCTGCTTCAGCCTCCTGAGTTGCTGGGATTACAGGTGTGTGCCACTGTCCCTGCCCACCAATATTCATTTTTAACCACAAAACCTATAAATTTCCTTTTTACTTCACCTTTTCTCTCCTCTTGTCTTGTTGGAATGGAAAAGATGTTCCTTTTCCTAGGACCCGTCTTCCTTACATGTATTCTAGATTATTCCATCTGCATTCTCTAAAACCTTTCTTTAATGAGTGTCTCTTCCTGTCTTTTTAAGCTCTTCCTCTTTTAAGGAGAAGTATCCATCAGCATTTGAACATATTCAAATCTTAGTTTACAAAATACAAGTCCCATCCTCAAGATTGCCTTTTCTTTTAGTTACCCCTTTCCTTTTGTGGGCTGGAAACTTGACCCGAGTTTTTTTGTCTCCATTGTCTCCATTGCCTTGTCTTCCTGTCATTTGTCATCCTGCCTAAGGCTGATTTCCTCATCCACCTAATTACCACAAATCCCAAAAACACCCCTGCTCAGGAATATAGAAAGCACTTATCAGGGAATAGTAAGGTCGAGTTCCAGGCTTTTCCTATTTTTGTAGACGATTTCTATAATATCTTTTTCTGGAACAGGAGCAAAGAAATGAGGACCAAGGGGAGATAAGATCAAAGCAGATGTATTTGTCTTATTTTTTAAAAGTTTTTTTTAAGAGGAACATAATCTCTTTATTTATTTTACTTATTTTTATGTGGTGCTGAGGATACAACCCAGGGCCTCACATGTGAGGCAAGTGCTCTACGGCTGAGCTATAACCCCAGCCCCTTATTTATTTATTTATTTTTTTTGATAGCAGAGTTTCCATTATATTTTTATGATGATTCCTTAGAGAGGGAAAATTTTTTAATATAGGAGAAAGAGAAGTAATAATGGTAAGAACCAAGTCCTCATGGAAAGAGTGGTACCAAGTGCTTAGTGGAGGTGCTGGCTTTTGATAAGGGCTGGCATGTCCCTCCATTGTTATAGTAGTGAGGGCAAAGAAAGCCACGACAGGTGCTGAGAGGTTCATTAGATGAGTTCCTGTCCCATGACCTTTATTTTCTCAGAGAAATAAGGAGTACTCCTTCCTTCTGTGTTTATTAATTTTTCATTAATGGATATAAAATACTTGTGTAATTAAAATCTAAGATAATGATGCTATAGCTTTGAGGTATAGATAATTCCAAAGAGTAAGGAGGAAGGCATATTTATTAGGGAGCTAGTGTAAGATTTTTGGGTGGTATTGAGCATCCATGTGAGTATTGTGTTCTTCATTGTGAGTTCAGTCAGCTGGATTTCATGTCTTCATTTTTACAGTGTTCCACTGTTGGAGTAAACGAGGAGAATAGCTGGGTGGTTGGCCCTTTCTGGGATTGGGGCTTTGCTTGCTAAGAAAAACAAGTGAGTGGAGTTCAATAATTGGTGGTATTTAAAAAGAAGAATCCCCAGTGGCTCAGCAGGCTAGGCAGGAGGATCATGTATTCAAGGTCAGCCTCAGCGACTCATCAGGGCCCTGAGCAACTTACTGAGAACCTGTCTCAAAATGAAAAATTTTATAAAAGGGCTGGGGATGTGGCTCAGTGGTAAAGTGCCCCTGGGTTCAGTCCCTAGTACAAAAAAAAATGTTTAATAGTTGTTTATGCATAGTCAGAACATTTGGTACAAGGTAGGAATCAAAATGTGGTCATTGGTTATCTTTAGATAAGTAGTAAATTTATTGGTTATGTGCAAATGACTTTTGTTTTTCTGTCTTTTTTACATTTTGCATTATGAACATGAATTATTTGTGTAATGAGAAAAACAAAATATAAAATAAAATTAAAATTAAAATCCCAATAAATAAGGTTTGAAAGGCTATTTTAGATAAGGTCTTAATTTGACTTCTCTTTTTTTAAATTTTTTAAGACATTGATGGACCTTTATTTTATTCATTTATTTATATGTGGTGCTGTGGATCAAACTCAGTGCCTCACACATGCTAGGCAAGTGCTCTACCACTGAGTCACAGCCCCAGCTCCCTTGACATCTCTTTTATAGAACCCCCGCCCAACTTTACTTGGAATTTTATGGGTTTTCCTCCCTGTTTTCCCTGACTTGTTTTTTCTCTCTTCCCTGTCTTTGTCCCCATTTCCAACCTCAACTTATCAAGTGAAATATTTCTCCCCTCTCACAGCCCAGGTCAAAATCACTTCCTTCAAGTAATTTCCTATAGTCTTCATTTGAAATTCTCTTCCTCCTGGAAATTCCCAGAAACCAATTTTTGAATTTGTTTTTTTACCAACTATCATGACTTACTTTGAATTAGTTATTTTTGTCTTTTATTCCCCTTTGTTAATTCCTAATGAGTAGAAACAGTACATATTTTGTTTTGAATCTTATGTTATCAGTGTGTTAAATAAATAGTGGATATGTAAATAACATTTTAAAACACAATTTAAAAATATATGACTGGGCTGGGGTTGTAGCTCAGTGATAAAGCACTTGCCTCACATGTGTGAAGTACTGGGTTTGATCCTTAGCACCACATAAAAAAATAAAAAAGATATTATGTCCATCTACAACTAAAAAATATTTTTAAAAAAATATATGTACCACCCAAAGCATGAACCCTTATGTAAGCTATGGACTTTATAAAGTGCTGATATAGGTTTATCATTTGTAATCAAGGTAGCATACCAATTCAAAATGCTAATAATAGGAGAAACTTAGGGTTGATTAGAGGGAGTATGTAGGAACTAACTTTTGTACCTTTTGCTCAGTTTTCCTAAGCTGCTCTAAAGAATACAGGAAAAAGATTATTGGGCATTATTTTATCAACTCATGTCTATAATGTGCTTGTCAACTTAAATATATTCATCAATGTTATTATAATTTTTCAAAAACTATTTCTTGAACTTCATTGATTTAAGCACATATTTTTAGCTTTTAAAATTGTGTTATGTTTGAAGTAACTGTTTTTTTTACTTTACAGATGGATGCTTTCTCTGATAAATGTCATATTGATGGACCACCAGACTCCTGTAAACAAGTTTCATTTGGCTGTATTACCACTCTAATGGGTGGTTCTGACTACATTAATCACACAATTTACTTCTCCCTAGATGTTTTCTGTAAAAGGTATAATTTTTTATTTTTAGAAGTGAAAATTAGGTTTTACCATTTTTAAGTTTTTGAAGATGGTTAAAGGCATTATTTCCAGGGTCAAATTTGGAACATGCTTATTTGATGAGAATATTTTAATATTAGAAATACTTTTCCAGGGCTGGGGTTGTGGCTCAGTGGTAGAGTGCTCGCCTAGCATGCGGAAGGCACTGGGTTCGATCCTCAGCACCACATAAATGTAAAATGAAGATATTGTGTCCACCTACAACTAAGAAATAAACATATAAAAAAAGAAATACTTTTCCAATATTCATGGCTCCTATCACTTCAATGTTTGAGGTAAATCTTTGGAGTTTGAAAATAATGTGTAGCAAGGGACAGATATATAATGTTTAAAAAAACTCCATGCCATCATCTTTTGCATTTTTATTTATTGAATGCAGTTACTAATATTTATGTGATTTTTCTTTACATAGATATTGAATTTCTATCTAACAAAGTATTGTAAGTATGCAGGGATACTATTTTTAAATACTTTAAAGGCTTGTAAGAAATGTTTAGAGCTACCTTGTACCTTTATTAATTCTATCTATAATTATTGGATGTAGCATTTAGTTGTTTAATGAATAAATCAATGATTTGTTAATTTTTTAGTTTAATTTAGTTCTGGAAAGAGTTCTAGAAATTGAGGGGACCAAAATAAAGCAGACTTTATTGGACTGGAGATGTAACTCAGTGGGGTTTGATCTTTGGCACCAAAGGAAAACAAAGAAAGAAAGAAAGAAAAAGAAAAGGCAGATTTTATTAAGCCCTGTGTGTGAAAAGCTCATAGTTCAAGTGGGAACAGTAAGCATGTGGATCCATTAAAAGGAGGTGATGAGAATAGCATTAATGAGCAGCACAGTGACCATGACTGACTGCAGTTGGGAGAACTGGGGAAGGTTTCCTGGGTTAGGTACTGTCCAAGCTGGACTCAATACCTCTGGAATCCCCTGCCAGGACAGATTTTGAAAAACAAATAGAAGCACAAAATGTATAGCTGTTTAGACCTAATCATCTGCCATTTAATTTTGGTACAAAGGGGGACATTGTCTCAGCTACACCAAGCAGCTTTCTGTTCTATTTTTCTTGGAATGTAAAAGCCAGAACTTCATCTTAGTTGTTAGCCCAGGAAGACTACAAGGATGATTGATTGTGGCGGCTAGAATTTTATGACCTGTATAGTCAGAAATCATCTATTCTGTAAGGAAAGGCCTATGTGATTGCTAAGCTCCAAAGGCCATTTCTTGGTTTCTGTAACCATGCCAACAGAAAGGCACCGTCAATGGTAGCCTCACTAGGAGAATTCTCAAGATGGGAAAGACATGAACATGTTTGTCATGCCAAGGGGATGATCAAAGGTGCAAAAGAGAGGAGGAATGACTAAGGGAACAAGGTCCATGAGCATAAAGAAAGGATGGGGTTGTAGGCATAGGTGGAGGTATTTACTGCTACAAAATCAGTTCAGTCAATCAAAGTAGTAGACCTGAATAGGTTAGACAGAGGGTGGCCAAAAAAGCAGTCCTGCCCATCCCAGCACTGAAAAAAAAAGTCCTGAGCCCCCAGCCAGTCATGCATACAATGATCAGAAGAGCTGCTATTAATCTGATTATGAAACCCAGTGAAAATAGCATAAGAAAATGCAATTTTAAAAATAATGGGAATCTAGGAGCTTGGATTGTGGCTCAGTAGTAGAGGGCTTGCCTGGCATGTATGAGGCAGTGGGTTTGATTCTCAGCACCACATATAAATAAATAAATAAAGGTCTATCAACAGCTAAAAACAAAAACAAAAAAAAAATTAATGGGAATCTAAAAGAAGGAAAACAGAAAAAGTTTTAATAGTTTTTGTCCCACATCATGGAGAGCCAATTTAAGTCAATTCCTTATTGTTTATTGGGCAGATATTTGAGTTTCTTACTTTGTTCCAGATACTGTTTTCATAACATTTGAATTCTAATGAGGTACAATATAGAGAATCATCAAGTAAAGTTCCCCCACTCCTGCCCATGCCCCAACAGTTATAGATTGTTTTCTGCTCTTCAGGATTGAACAAAGTACTGTGATAGTAAAATGGGGATGGGGAGGGATTTACTATAGATAGCAGATCAGAGAAGGCCTTTCAGAGGAGGTGACACTTGAACAGAGACCTGAAGGGTAAGAAGGAGCCAGCTGGAAAATATTCCAAACCAACGAAGAGCTCATGTAAAAGTCTTGAGGTAGAAGCTGGACACAGTGGCACAACAACACCTATAATCTAAGCAGCTCAGGAGGCTGAAGCAGGAGGATTATGAGTTCAAAGCCAGCCTCAGCAAAAGCAAGGCACTAAGCAACTCAGTGAGACCCTGTCTCTAAATAAAATACAAAACAGGGCTGGGGATGTGGCTCAGGGGTCAAGTACCCCTGAGTTCAGTCTCCAGTACCAAAAAAAAAAAGTCTTGCAGTAGAAAAATCTTTACATGACCTAGGAACACAAGGGAGGACAGGACAGGATGACTGGAGTGTGGTGAGTATGTATGGCATGCCTTGAATGAGGGATGATATGAGAAGATAATTGTCAATGCCAATGTCAGTGTTCTTTGTAGGATCCAGGTAAAAATTGATTTTGTGTTAAGTACATAATTTACACACTCAGTTTGAATCCTGTTAAGAACCTTCTCAGCAAGTTATAAAAGAATGTCACATAATACTGCATTACTTTAATATTTAATCGCAAATGTATTTAGTTATTGTTTGGTAATGCAATATAATACTAATAACTTCAAAACCATATTGCTTCCTTAGAAATCAATTGAAAATATACATAATTTGATTGGTATCTGCCTTTGTGCATATCTGTTCTTTCTTTCTTTTTCTGGTTGTATACAAAGTATATTCACACCATTTGTATCTTCATACATGTACTTAGTTATAAGTTATCAACATATCCTTTTGATAAGTTATCTAATAAAAAATGTCATTTACTTAAAAAAATAAAGGAAGAACCGTCTCAGGTATCCTAGATGCAGTCAGCTCCAATAGGAAGGTATAGACTAATAAAACCAATTGTAAGTAGGTTGAAGAATGAGTGGGGTATTTGCATGCCAGGGACTAGAAGGGAGTTCTCCTTCAAAGAATAGCCTGACAATTACAAGAAACAGCCCCCTGGGAGACATCCTGCCTGGGAGACACCCTGCAGCCATCTATCTCCCTGAGACATCCTGCGGTTATCTCACCTTGTGAAGACATCCAGCAACTGCCGATAAGAGAGCTCCCCCATTCCCAGCCCATAAATACCCCTGTGTGAACAATAAAAGTTTGCAGCTTGATCAGAACTCCTGTCTTGCTGTCATCCTTCTGTGTCTCTTGTCCCTTCATTCCTCCCCATCTAGGTTCACTGCCCACGTTGATGTGTCCTGCCGGTCGGGACATTTGGCACCCAGTGTGGGGCTCGAGCCTTTGACTGAGGGGGAACGCCATCCTCCGGGAAGACTTGGCCAAGCGGGAGCTCGTGATCGCCTCGGCAGACACGACCAAGAGACAGATCCAGGAGGAGAGTGAGGACGACGCAAGGTGAGTGACCCACCATGGGACAAGCAGTTTCGTCACATGAGTTGTTTTTGTCAGGCCTCAAGCCCCGGGGGGGGGGGGGGGCGTGTTAAGAAAAAGGACTTAAGATTATTCTTTTCATACATAGGAGAATTGTGTCCATGGTTTCCCCTTGAAGGGACCATTGATGGTAAAAGATGGCTTAGAGTAGGAGACTGTTTAAACGATTATTATGAATCCTTTGGCCCAGAAAAGGTGCCTGTTCCCACCTTTTCTTACTGGAACCTAATTAATTAAAAAAAAAAAAAAACAGAGAGATATTTTTTGGCCTTTATGTTCTAGAAGTTTGCACTAGGAGAGTGAGAAAAAGGGAGAGAAAATGTGATGTTTACCTGGAGAGAAATAAGTTTCAATTTTCTATTGTTTTTGTCAATACTCAGAAAGTATGTACGGACCTTTTTACTACATGATTGTCCTATGAATCAGAATGGCTGTAACTCAGCCGCTGGGGACAAGAGACTTTAGCCGCTGCTGCTTGCTATGGGGTCCTAGCCCCTGTGGCCAACAGTGCTTTTAATCCTTGAATTACTTGACCTAAATGCCAAACACAGACTAACTTAAGATCTGATGGTAATGCTAGCGTTTGCTGCTAAAAAACCTTTGGGGCACCCACGTGCCACAGAAAAAAGTGCAGGATGTACACGAGCTGCAACAGCAGGTCGCAGAGACAGAACAAGCTGCTACTGCAGTAAGATCTTGGCCAGGCGGGGGAAAATGCAGACAAAATCAAACAAAATGCAATCGGCTAGGAAAACTTGGGGAAATTTTGCCCCGAAAATGGGCAGCGGACTCCATGTTGTTTGCATCACCATGGTAACCATGGGGTGACTGGCCGGAAGAGCAGGCTTCCTGGTCCCACCTCCCACACTTTCGTGGGCTTCCGATTGGTTCTTCCACAGTCACTCAGACAGGACTTCTAGTCCCGCCTTCCAGCCACTAATCTGTACTACTGTGTTTCAGATTTCTACCGGAGCTGTTCAGAGCCTGTATTTTTAAGAATGCCTACCTGTAAATGCTAACGAAAGATATCTTTTTCAGACAAAATTTAATTCCACAGCTTTCTATGTTACAGCCCTAAATTTAAGTTAGTTCTGAGTTAAATAACCTGACTTTTCCCTATAGTTGTGTTACTAAATAATGTTCTATTGATGAGAGATATCAAACATGCTTCTTTATATTTTACTCTTAATTTTGGAGGTTATGAGGATGCATTTGCTCGCCACAGGAACAAAGCCGGCAATGTTCCTGTGATGACCAAAAAATCCTTATTCTCATTCCTAACTATAAAAAATAAATATGTATACTCAACAAGGATTTTATTTCAGTTGAACAAGTGACATCACATAGAAGAGTGCACTCCTAGTTAAAAATAAATTAAAATGGATCTAAATATTTTAAGACCACGTGGTTACATAAAATTAATACAATTATAAGTTATGTTCTTATTCTTAATATATATATTTTTAAGATATTTAGGTAACCTATATTTGTTAATCTATAAAATAATTAGCACATGCCTAATTAATTAGTTAATATATATTTGCCTAATTGTTTTTCTTCAACAGAAAACCCATAATTTATGTTTTATATTTACATTTATCAGATACTCTGCCTTTTCAGTTACAGATATTTGAGATAAATGTGCTTTTAAGTGAAAATACAATCTTCAAGTAGTTTCTAATTCTCAAAGTTACTGTTCAAACTCATAAGATGATAAATAATTATAATTATGTCTACAAAATATCTAAGGATTTTAACTATATTTTCATTGATATTTCTTATCAAAGTACAATAATTTGTTTATAGATTCTAAGGTTTTCAGAAATTGTTCCAAGTATAACAAAAAAAAATTTTTTTCTAAAAGAAAAGGATGCTTCAACAAAGAAAAAGCACACATGGATCCTAAAAAGAAGAAAGAAATCATCTTTGGGTAAAACAAGGTCTTTATATTCATATTTCAATGATAAAAGTATTTTCCTAAGTTTTACTTAGGTTTTTTTTTTATATTGTTACCTAAACAACAGATTTTTATATTGTTATCTAAACAAATGATGTAAAAAATTAGAACGATTTAAAAAAAAGAGATTTATATATACTAAACTGACTATAATTAATTTAAGGGTATTTCAGGCTATTTTTCCTAGTTTAACTATACTAATGTGAGCTAAGATTTTGTCCATATTTTGACATGATAAGCACCTATTAAAATGTAAGTTTATTTCTTTAAAGAAAGATCCTTATTGCCTAATAATTCTTACTGTTTAAGACAAAGATTAATTTTGGTAAATAAATTCACATTGTTGATTAAACATTTAAGTATATTGAACTACTAACTTAAATCCGATTTTAACAATTGTCCTTAGAGACTAAAATCAATTGATTCTAAAACACTGAGATACTAATTTTTACATATTTTGTTTGTTAGATGATCATAAAATTTAAAAAAAAAACAACATTTTATTAAGACTAAGGTTCTCCAAATTAAAGTTATATATTAATTTTAAACAATAAAGGTTACAAACTTAAAAAAAATTCATTGATATTATATAAGTTCTCTGACTAGATCTATTGTCCATAAAAAATACAGTAAGATTTATATACTGCTCCCTACACAGGAAATAACCTTAATCATATTTTTTAAAGGTAATTAAGAGATACCTATTTAAAGGATAATATTCTAAAATATAGAGATTTGGGGATCGCCTTAACCATGCATTATTTGCCCTTAATTTTCTTACCCTAGACAGTGAAGGCCATTTGGCCGCAGACAGACACTGGCATCCCTCGTCCAATTCTGTTCGCCCACCTGTTATGTGGCGCGATCCCCTTACAAATAAATGGAAAGGCCCAGATCCTGTCCTCATCTGGGGACAAGGCTCAGCTTGTGTTTTGGACCAAGAGCAAGCAGCCCCAAGATGGTTACCAGAACACCTGGTTAAACAGGTTAATGACTTACCTCAACCCAGGGATGGAGGCCCTCCCCCTGAGGACAAATTTTCCTCTTTTTCAGATGCAGCCAACAATCTGTGTGAGGATCCTGCTTAAGGCACTTCTGCGGAACAGGTTTGTACATGGAGGCCTTGGCCCTCCACCTTCCAACATCATGGAGTACCTTTTTGGCCCCCCCTGCGAATGCAAGGGAGGATCTTGGACTCAGGCTCCCACTAGTTGGACCCAGACTGCTGACTGCTTGACTAAGGTGGCTTACCTCCGTGCCGAGGTTGACCATCAGCCTGAATGGGTAGGTGTTAACAAGCCAAAGATTATTCCCCCCAGTACAAGTAAAGCTCTCCAAAATTGTTCTGCAACTTGCACGCATACCCAGGCGATGCATGTCTCTTGTTATGCGTCAGCCTCAATTTGTGTTAACAAGCAGGGAGAACAATTTTTTGAAGCCACCTTAACTAAAACTCATGCAGCAGAGGGGACCACTATTCACTATACTCCCGTTCTCTTTGACCAGGGAGGAGAAGGCATATACACCAAGTTACAGTCAGCTGGATGCCAAGGCACTGTCGGTAAACCCTCCTGCTGGCCCATTAAGGCCCCTACAGGGGTCTCTGATGGTGGAGGACCCACTGATGCTGTCAAGCATCTTCAGATAATCAAACTTTTAAAACCCCAAATCCCTGAGCTCACATATCATCCCTTAATGCTGCCTAAATCCCAGCTCCTAGATTTAGATACCAATACATTAGATATTTTGGAAACTACCTTCTCCTTGCTTAATAATTCCAACCCCACCCTTGCTGGTGATTGCTGGCTCTGCATGACAACAGGGGCAATCATGCCTATGGCAGTTCCTATTAATTCTATCATAGACAATGATAATACATGCCAACCCGGATTTCCTTTTAAAGTACAGCCTATAGGCACTTTTACATCATGTCTTTTAGGCACGATGCAGAATAATACCTATGATGTTGATGTTGGAGTTACTTCCTTTGGAAATTGCTCAACAGTAAAAAATTATTCCTCACCCACCCCATCTCTTTGTCCCCCCAATGGCACAGTTTTTATGTGTGAAGGAAACTCTGCCTTCCCCAGGCTTCCAGCGAATTGGACCGGTGGCTGTGTTCTTGCCTTATTACTCCCTGATATAACTATTGTCCCAGGAGATGAACCTCTACCCATTCCTAGCCTAGACACCTTAGTCAAAAGACACAGGCGGGCAATACAGGCCTTACCACTCCTTGCCAGCCTTGGAATAACAGCTGCTGTGGGCACAGGTACCGCTGGCTTAGGCATGGCTATACACTCTTACCGTCACCTATCTCAACAACTTATAGATGATGTACAAACTCTATCAGGAACCATTAAAGATTTACAGGACCAAATAGACTCCCTGGCAGAAGTGGTCCTTCAAAACAGACGAGGCTTAGATTTGCTGACAGCTAACCAGGGAGGTATTTGCTTGGCCTTAGGGGAACGATGCTGCTTTTATGCCAATAAATCAGGCATAGTACGGACTAAAATTAAGCAGCTTCAAGAAGATTTAGAAAAGAGATGAAGTGAACTATTTGAAAATCCCTTCTGGACTGGGCTTAATGGATTTCTACCCTACCTTCTTCCACTATTAGGCCCTTTGTTGGGTTTACTTTTAATGGTGTCCATAGGACCCTGCATTATAAACAGGCTGGTACAATTTATTAAAGAACAGATTAATATTTTGGCCTCTAAGCCCATACAGGTTCACTATCATAGTCTGGAGATGGAAGACCACGCTGCCAACATTTAAAAGGATGTTCTACCCTTCTCACAGGCTTATTTCATAAGTTTACATCCCCACAGATCCCCCTTTCTTAAAAGTGTCTTTTTACCTGAACTCAAACAAGACCAAACCAAAAAGTAAATTGTATGGTATTTACTAATTACTGGCCAGTCATCTTTTTAGGACTCTTGCTTTTCTTAGATTCTGTATTTTTTTTTATCCTATAGGCAAGTTAATGTTTTCTGATCAGTTCTATTTTTGATCAACTGTGGAGTTTTTAAACATTGCAATGGAGATTTCACCTGGAAAAAAAAAAAACAGCTACAAGGCCTTGTGTATGTGTTACATTTGTGTTATGTGTTGTATGTCAGTATGTCTATATGTGTATATGTCCATATATCATGCAGTGATATGACAATTGGCAGATATATGAGGAGCGCTCAAAAAAAAAAAAGGATCCAAATATCTTTGATTCACGTGATTCAAATGGTTCAATTTAAATTGGATAAACAGATAAAAGTAAAGATGTCTTTAAAATTAAGCTTATAAGTTTTTCTAGGTGTTCAAAAATAAAACCTAATAAAATGTTGATGTCTATGAAATAATTGCTTAAATTCAGAAATTTACAAGTATTGTTTCAAAATGTGAACAAAAAAGAAGGTTAACAGATGGAAAAAAACTAAAAGGTTCTAGATATGGATTTAATAGAGGGAAAATGTGTTTCTGGATAAAAAAGTCTATATGATTAAGTTAACAAAAGGGTTTAAGTAAGTGATAAAAAAGGTCTGTGTAAATTGGTTATATGTGTAAGTTTTTGAACAAGTAATCTTAAAGAAATCAAAAATTATACAACTATGGTTAAACAACAACTGTTATTTTTCAATATTGTAATGATTATTTAAGAGTTAAACTTGGTTAATATAAAATCATCAATGTAATTATGGTGCTATTAATTCATATCTTCCAGGTATACAAGTCTGTAAGGTAGAAGCTTCAAAAGAGCATTATATCAAGCTGGTGTTCTGAAGTTGTATGGTAATTTTAGGCTTAAAAGAAAAACATGTTGGAGATTTATTTATATCATTGTGTTCTATAACTGTACTTATTATCAATAAGTTATGTAAAGTTCCATGTTACTTTTTACACTGAGATACAATTTAAATGTATTTTTAAGTTAATGAGAGCCTAATCTGTGTGAAGGTTTTATTGTAAAACACAAAAGTACTTTGCTACTTTTCTATAAAAGGTTAAAAGTTTTCAGCCTTTAATTCATGTTTTAGATGTGATATTATGGTGTTAGCTAATATTCATGTAAACTTGAACAACAATTTATGTAAGCTTTGTAAAATGATGTCTAAAAAGCAAAGATCAGCTTCAGAACTATAGTACTTAAGATTTATGAAAAGCCCGAGACTATGAAAGAAGTAGGCCAGATTTCAGTACATTTAAAGTTGTGTCCAAAAGTTGGTTTTTGCCAAGATTACTAGGATCTCAAACAAGGGATTATAATGTATAACCCTGCCAAAATTCGAGGTAGCTACTATATAAACTAAATATGTTTTTACCCTAGTTAATTTTAGTTTGTAGTTTGCTTATAGGTGGTCTAAGGATTGCTTGTTAATGTTTTGCAGAGGTACTGATTTAAGAACACACAACCTGGGTTAATTTAAGATAAGGAGTTATCATCTACAGGATAGAGAGATAGACATTAAAGCCCAGTACTTTTTATATAAGGCTGTTAAAACTTATTTGCTGGATGTTTAAGATTAAGTTCTAAAATTAAAGTTAAATTAAAAGGGCCAAGAAAACCAATATTTGGCTCTTGCCCTCAGAGTCAGTCTGAGTCAGGGAATAGGGGACTTCTCCAAAGAGCTCTGCAACTCTAGGCCACATAACCTCCTGAACAGGGAGATTAATGAGACCAGTGGAGGACAGAAAGCCAATCAGTGCATTTGCTGTGAAGAGGAGGGTCATCAGAAAAGGGAGACATCCCTGATGCTTCCGAGGGAAGCCATATGGTCAAGCAAGGCCTGGACCCATCCTAGCGGAAATAGCACTAGCAGAACTGAAAAGCTGCTATAAGTTCCCCGAGGACTCCCAGGGAAACTCAGCTGACTGTTAACAATAGATAGAAACAAAAGTCAGTTTGACTTGCTTCATCTTAAACACTTAGCAAAGACAGTCAAAGCCAAAACACAGCTATTCCTGGGCATTTTAAATGATAATAATAGTTAAATGTAACTTCCAAGAATAAGTAAACTGGAGGCTGCAAAAGAGATTCTCAGACAGGAATGCCTGATAACCATCAAAAGGGACTGCCAGAATAGTTTTTAGTTTAAGGCCTTTATTTCTAACCTACACAGGTAGGCCTAATGTTTGCTAGTATGGTTATCCAGCCCTAAGTAACAGAATTAAAGATTTCTCTATTAGACACAGGCCGGTAAGGTATGGTCAAATATTTTATATAAGTAAGGGGGAGATGCCAGGGACTAGAAGGGAGTTCTCCTTCAAAGAATAGCCTGACAATTACAAGAAACAGCCCCCTGGGAGACACCCTGCAGCCATCTATCTCCCTGAGACATCCTGCAGCCACCTATCTTCCTGAAACATCCTGCGGTTATCTCACCTTGTGAAGACATCCAGCAACTGCCGATAAGAGAGCTCCCCCATTCCCAGCCCATAAATACCCCTGTGTGAACAATAAAAGTTTGCAGCTTGATCAGAACTCCTGTCTTGCTGTCATCCTTCTGTGTCTCTTGTCCCTTCATTCCTCCCCATCTAGGTTCACTGCCCACGTTGATGTGTCCTGCCGGTCAGGACATTTGCAGACTGTGTATAACAGGAGTGTGAGAGGGAGGGATTGAGTGCATTTGATATTTGTGCATTAACAGAAGAGGCCTCTAATTGTTGCTTCATAGCCCATGATCCCACTGGTTTTGCCTGCTCAAAATGGTGGTGATCACCAACTCCATATTTCAGACTAGAGTTAAGGTCTTGGGTCCATGAACATTATTCATGGAAATGCTTAACACCAGTAATGGATTTCAGACTATTTTTATATATTAATATACAATACAATATTTAAGCATTTTGATGAAGAATGCTAAAATGAAATAAGTCAATTAGACTAAAAGGTGGAGTTAGAAGAACCATGTGACAATCAGCATTGTATCTCTGTGACCAAAATGCCTAACAATAACAACTTAGAGGAGGAAAGATTAATTTTGACTCACAGTTTTAGAGTGTTCAGTCCATGGTTCGCCAGCTCCACTTTCTGGGACTGAGGTGAGGCAGAACATCATTATGGTAGGAAAACTGCTCAGCTCATGGTGGCCAAAAGGCAGAGAAAATGGAGGGGATGGGGCAGGCACAGATCCCAGTGACCCACTTCCTTCAGCCATGCCTCACCTGCCTACAGTTACCATCCACTTGGTCTATTCAAACTACAATGAACTAATTAAGTCATAGCTCTCATAATCTAATCATTTCACCTCTTATTATTCTTGCATTAACAGAGGAGCTTTGACAGGACACCTCATATTCAAACCATGACAGTCCATATAGACAATGTGCTATTTTCTCCCCCTTTATTTTTCAGGTTAGGCACTAATATAGTTCTATGACATCTGCCTATTCTTATGTGACATGTGTCCTGAATTAAAATCCTGGGGTCATAAATATGGTTATTTCTTTGCTTTCCAGAACAAACTATCTCAAGTACTCACTAGAAAGAATAAAAGGAAATTCCATGCAGTTTTCTTATTGCTTTTTGGACTTTCCCTTGGGTCATGGGTTGCCTAACTAATTGTTTAGCATCTTACTCAGTCCAGAGGTAGATTTTCTGTTTTGATATGCCCTTTAGTGACAATAGTTGTGTGGTTGTATTTAGCTAATGGGAAGCACAAGTAGGAGACTGGACTAGGCAGGGAGATGTTGGGATATTAATTCCCTTAGCTACCTCATTGCCAGGCTGCATGTTGGCAATGTCTTTATTCTTCTACCAAAGTTCATAGCTTCTCTTGAGCAACCCCTCCTGTAGCTACAGATATGCTTGAGGTGGCCATGACCTCCATTGTCCAACCTGAGTCATCTTTTAGACTAAAGAGAGTTTTACAGGTGACTTAAATTAAATCAGGCTTTAACATATTTATACCTGGACAGATTGGTTTGATGTTTGGACCTTTAAAATAGTACTGCTTAGTTTGAGACCATCCCATTTATTGATTATTGATTTTATTTCTTGGGGTTTAGGAGTCTTATTGAGGAAATCAGTTCCTAAGTTGACATGATGGAGAGTTGGGCCTACTTTTTTTTCTAGTAGGCAAAGAGTCTCTGGTCTAATTCCTAGGTTCTTGATCCACTTTGAGTTGAGCTTTGTGCAGGGTGAGAGATAGGAGTTCAATTTCATTCTACTGCATATGGATTTCTCTCTGATATGTGGATGCTAACCCACAACAAGGGAGGGGAAGATTAGAAGTTCATTGGACTAGACAAAGGGGAATGAAGGGAAGGATGTGGGGATGGTAATAGGAGAGACAGTAGAATGAATCTGACATATCATTCCTGTCCTCATATATAAATACATGACTAATGTGAATCCAATTCATGTACAACCACAATAATGGAATCCTAATTGGAACAAGTTTTACTCATTCTACATATGTATAATATATCAAAATACACTCTACTCTCATGTATATCTAGAAAGAACAAATTAAAAACTAGTATTACTTTTACATTTTTCAAAACTAAAATTGCTTCTGAAAAAGAAAGTATTTGTATATGTTAATGGAAATTTTAGAACTTTTAAATATTTTGCCAATTTTAGATACAACAACAAATTCACTGCTATCCTTAATTTCCTTCAATTTTGTTATACAATATAAATGAAAAATTATATTTTCCAATGACAAATAAGAGCTACATTAAGAGAGTCTTACCACAGTGTTCTATTCTTATGTGACATGTGTCCTGAATTAAAAGCCTGGGGTCATAAATATATAACCATCTAATTTCAAATTTGTAAACAATTTGAGCTGTGATGTATATATTTTTTCACAATCTACATTTTAAAAATTTTTTATCATCATTATAGATGGACACAATACCTTTATTTTATCCACTTTTTTTGTGTGGTGCTGAAGATTGAACCCAGTGCCTCACACATGCTATACAAGTGCTCTACCACTGAGCTACAGTCCCAGCCCCACAACTTATCCATTTTTTATAGATAAATTTCAACATTTTTCTCTTTGGAAATTTCATATCCATAATTATAATTCTCCAAAGACTTCAAAACTGAATTCTGATGCTGTTTGTTGAATTTTCAGTTGAAGATTTCCAACTGATTTTACTGATTTGAAAGGACTCGTTTCAAAACAAAAAACACTTGCACAGTAGGACAGTTGGGCTTACTTACACAGTAGTCCTTTAGAAGATCAAGCATGCTTGAAATCTGGGCGAGGGATGTAGCTCAGTGAAGGAGTGTTTTCCTAGCATGCATGAGGACTTTTGTATTCAGTCCCAAAAGATTTGTAGTTCAGTTATTTTGAATATATAAAATACATGGACACTCATTTTGTACATTTTGATTACTATACCTTCAGTTTCAATTAGTTGAATGCCATACATAGTATGTTTGCATGAAGTAATGAATTATGTTTGTACCACAACCAATTCTAAGTACATTTCTGCTCTATCAATTTCTTAATTCCTAAGAACCACATGGTTTACTATGATGCCTTTTTCCAAATTTGTATTTGCATTAGCAGTACAAAAACAGTTTTACCTCCACTATAGGACTTTTTAACTGAATTTACAATAGCATTCTTAGTAATGTCATATATTTCACTTTTGCCAGAAAGAACTTCCATTACTGGAATTTACCTAACTCTTTTTCCTTTTTAAAACATCTGCCATCATATAACTCTTTGTGAATTCTTCTAGTGGAGCTAACCTAGTCACAGCTGTTGCTTCATTTTTCTAATGTACCTAAGAAATATTGGAATAAAATTGTTGAAATTATGTTATAGCAGACTTTAAAAGTCATGGATCATAGAATTATATATAAATGTACTTTTTTGTAGTTTCTCATGATAACTTGTTTTCTTTGGGCATGATGTTCTTAAAATATTTAATAAGTTATGAAGTAAATGCTTCAGCACATTTGGGTCCTCTGCTTTTCCTGTGGTTTAGTGATATCACTACAACCTCCACAGTAGAGGAGAAATGTTGACAGATTATCTTAATCTGCTTGGGCTTCCATAACATAAAACCATCAACTGGGCTTAACCGAAATTTATTTTCTCAGTGTTCTGAAGGCTAGAATTCCAAGAATAGACTACCATGGGTTTTGTTTCTGGTGAAGGCTCTCTTCCAGGATTGCAGATAGCTGCCTTTTTACTATGTCCTCACATGACTTTCCTCAGTGCATGCATACATAGATAAAAAGAAGGAACAAGTTCTCTGGTATCTCTTCTCATAGGGACACTAGTCCCAATTAGGGGTCCATCCTTATGATCTCACTTAAGCTTAGCTACTTCCTTAGGGTCTCTGTCTCCAAAAACAACCACACCAGGGCTCAGTGCTCCAAAATATGAATTTAGGGATGAGGGGAAATACAAACATTAATCCCATAACACGGATGTATTGCACAAGCCATGTATTCATCAACCTCTTTGGAAAGCCAATTAATTACTCATTTTCCCTAAGCGTGCACTTTTCTTAAGCTCATTGTTGCCAAAAGGTTTTATTGAAAACTTAAAGGAAGTGTGTTAGCTTGACATCACTGTGACCAAAATACCTGACAAGAACATATTAGAGAAGGGAGAGTTTATTTTGGCTCACAGTTTCAGAGAGTTTCGGTTCATGGTCAACTCACTCTATTAATTTGGGCCTAAAGTGAGGCAGAACATCATGTGAGAAGGGCATGGCATAAGGAAGCTGCTTTCCTCAGGACAGCTGGAAGGCAGAGAATGATATGGAAAGAGGTTGCAGGGCAGATACATGCTTCTAGGGCATGCTCCTAGTGACCCATCTCCTCCAGCCATACCCCACCTGCCTACAGTTACCAGCCACTCCATTCAAAGTAGAGTGAACTGATTAGGTTACAGCTCTTATATTCTGATCATTTTACCTCTGCATGTCCCTTTGTTAACACAGGAGCTTTGGGGGGATACCTAGTATCCAAACCACAACAGGAAGGTTGCCAAATTATTAAATAAAGAAATAGTTATAAATTTACACCCTAGTAAGAGCATTAGGACTGATATATATGTATTAAGACATCTATACTGTTCTTTCCCTTAAGTGTTTCATGTAAACCTAACCTGCAGTATCCCAAATAACCCAGTGATCCTGCCAGCTTGATGATCTGACAAAAATCTTGCCTTTTTTAGGCCATGGCATAGACCATGGAGTGAAGAGTCGTCTACTAAGGGGCTGGCTGGGCCAGGAGCCTCTGATACCTCTCACTTTGTGAGATGTTAGAGTTAGCTTTCCATAGTCACTCATGTCTAAGGACACTGTTTTATGATCAAGCATATTTTATGTACTCCTTAGAAGGTGGGTGTTAGCTGCCTTGTATCTGAAATGAATATGGACATGAGAGGCATATTACTCATGATTGTATTTCAGATTTTACCATATTAGTGAGATTTCTGTTATCTGTAACAGTAAAAAAAAGTAGGGCACAGCCTACTTTCCACACGACTCTAATGAAAATGGAAAGGAAATAGATGTTCCCTGTCCTGGATAAATTCTTTTTATTAAGAAAGTTTTCAAATATACATCAAATTTGAAATATTTTCACAGTGAATAACCATATAACCACCACCTGAATTCTGTCAGTAACATTTTATTATACTTGTTTATCACATTTTCACATATCTATCCATGTATTCATCATCCCATCTATTCACCAATCTATGTTATATTTTTTTATTTTGTTGAAAGTTAGATACATTTATATTGTGTACTATGAATTCTAGTATGTGTATCAACAACTCAAGTTCAACATTTGTTTTAGTTTTTTTTGTTCTGAGTGTCTTTGGGTTTTAACAAGTGCTTGTAATGAAATATTACCCTCATAACCTTCCATAGTCAATCCTTATTCCCACTCCCAGGGAAACATCATTCTATATTTTATCTACCATAGGTTTAATTTTCCTGTTTGAGAATTTTATGAAATGGAATCATATTATGTATGACATTTTTCATTAAGAAGAATGTTTTCAGACTCATCTATGTTTTTATATGTGTCTATAGGTCCATTCTGTTATATTTAATGCATCGGTTTCTCAATTGTTCTATTGAAAGTCATGTGGCTGATAGTATCTTTTAGCTATTCTGAAAAAATCCCACCAAAACCTCTTTGTACAAGTCTGTTTGTGGAACTATGGCTTTGTCATGTAGCTTATATACTTAAAACTAGAACTAAAACTGCTGAGTCATACTTTAAGGAATAATAGAAATCTAAGGAGCAATGGGTTGAAATTTCAGTTACTGAAAAGGTAAAACTTTAGTAGAGACCTAAAATATTTCCAACTGATTTTACTAATTTTTCAACTGTTCTGAGTGAGCTGTGTCATCAGTATAGACCAAACATGTTTGTGTTTTTGCACAATGTCATAATTTATAGAGTAACAACAAATTCACAGGCTATACTATGAATATATAGCGTGCTATATATTCAGCAGTGGCAATTCACTGAATTCTTGTGGAACACCTGACAGTCATAAGCTGGATAATCACAAATTCTTTTAATCCACTTCAATCTTAATTTCCAATGTCTATAAAAACTCAAGTCACACTTCAGAAAGTGATATACATGGATCACAGAAAGATTAAGAAAGAGTTAAGACAGCCTCAGGGTTATAGGATGCTGTGTCAAGAGCAAAGACAGAGAGCAGATATAAGTGCAAGATTCACTGTAATTGGTCAGATAAGGGTTTTAATGGACCAGTTCCACAAAGTTGTTAAGGTGAGGGTCCAAACAGCAGCTTCAAAGTGTCAGCTTAGAGTAGGCCATGCATCATCATCAACGGCAAGAAAAACCATGCGAAGCTGAAGTCCAGGGACAGAAAATCAGAAGTTCATCACTGTGGCAATTTCCTGGGCAAGGAAAATCGATAGGATCAGGATGCCACTATGTTCAGTCATGGGGGACTTTTCCTTTTATAGGTCTTAGGTGAGTGGGTTACATCTGGTGAAGTTGATAAGCTCATGTGTCTGGCATCTGGAATATGATTTGGGTTACCCACATGTGTGGATGCTCCTGATTTAGTTTGATGAGTTGGCATGAATAAGTTATTTATCAATCTGTGCCTTATGATTGTTCTGGGCAGAGGGTGGTTGTTTACTTGTACAAACACGGTACAGAGTCATTCTGCCTTAGCACTTGTACTCAAAATGGAGTAACTCATGGCAAACTACTACTTTATAAAATGGAATAACTCAGGGTTAGGCACAGTCTGAAAATTGTTCAAGTCATCATGGAGTAACTCACAGCCTACTTTCCATACAACTCTAATGAAAATGAGAAGGAACCATTTACCCCCCACCAAAAACAAAATCATTCCCATGGTAAGACGGTGGGCTGATTTATAAACAGCAGTCCTTCAGAGGCTCAAGTATGCCTGAAATCTGATTGGAATAAGAGTATGAGCCACATAGGGATTCGAAGGTCATTGTAAGGATTTGACTTTTAGGGAGGTTATAAGCAATACTGTTGAAAAAAACCCTAATATCAGTTAAATTTAATAGTTTACTTGAGCAAGAGAAATATTCTCAAACCATGCAGCATTCTGGACTAATGATAACTCAGAATGCCTCTATTTCCAATATGATAAGCTATATTTATTCTAAAAAACAGAAGAAAATGAAAAAAGAAAGGAATGAGTACAGAGATGACCTGACTGGTAAAATTCAATGTTTTCCTTATTTGGGCATAATTTGGCAGCCTTTGACCTGGGATTGGCTGAGGCTAAAGTTGCTGTGATTGGTTTGAGGTTCAGTTGCTTGGTAACCAAGGTATATTCTGTTAAGTTACTACTTGTCCACACATCAAGTGAGGTTGCAGTTTACTATATATGGAGGCCTCTCTGGGCTATATTTTTTCACCCAAGTATGGCAACTGATATAGATCAAAGCTAACTCAATTTGACATTCTGATATTTGGTGAATTATATTTTAAGATGTTTATCCTGACTGTGGTGTTCAGAATAGTCTCTATGGGACAAAGATATCTTTGAGAAGACAAGTTAGGAGTCTATCACAATAGTCCTGGTGAGTCATAATGGGTATTTGGACAAGGTAAGTAATAGTTGAGGCTCTAAGGATTGATTTGATTTGGAAAATATTTTAGAATAGAGGTGAAAGTATTAGCTGATGAATCATCAGACACTTGGTATGAAGAAAAGAGAAGTCACAATTTACTTTAAATGTGTAAGTTTGAGTTATGCTAAGGGAAGAGTTTCCATTTCTGAGGTATGGAGAGGCTGAGGAGCAAAATTAGTTATATGACTAGACTAGCAAGGATTTAGCTTCAGACATAATGATTTGAGTAAGAATTGGTTGTATGAAACTGAGGTTGATTAGCACTTCAGGCATGTGCATTTTGGAGCTATCAGCTCAAAGATATCCTATAAAGCCACACAAAAAGGAATGTGAAGAGATAAGAATAAAAGAGAACAAAAGGGAAGAGGTCTAATGCATGTCATGGGGCATTCTAAAATTTAGTCATAATGGAAATTGTGGAAAAATGAGAAAAGACTACAAAGAACTAGGAAATGCTGAGTCATAAAGTTCAGAAATGTTTTAACTTTAGTTGATAATTGCCAGTTTTCTGAAGTGGTTATACCAATATACATTTCTGGTAGCCAGTGTTTGAGAATTATTTTTAATAACTTTATTACAGCTACTATGGTATATTTTTATTCACTTATTTTATGTGGTACTGAGGTTAGAACCCAGGCCCTTACACATGCTAGGCAAATGCTCCACCACTGAGCCACAACGCAGCCCCAGAGAATTATATTTGCACCAAATCCTCCCTGATCCTTCTTACCTTGTGACTCAATTTATTGTACACATATGTATACATTTGTTTGTAACTGTAAGATATAAAGTATATAATGCTTATCTGTCCAAAACAACTGATAAAATTGTTTCTATAGCAATATATGCTATGGCTAATGCTATTACAAGTCACAATCATCATTTATTTGGTGCTGATTAGGTGCCAGGCACCATTGTATGAGTTTTATATATATTGATTCATTGTCCCTGCAACTATATGGTAAGTACTGCTATGATTGTAGTACTCATTTGATATCTCAAGAACCAAGGCCCAGAGATTGATTTAGATGCACAGTTGACACCTCTTCTCATTTGACTTCGTTAAATCAACATCTGAAGGATTACAAACTTCCCTTTTGATTGGAAGATTAGAAGTTAGTGGTTTGAAGTTCAATTCAAAATGTCCCTTAGATAAAATAGAAACTATTTTAGGGTATAGCAGTTTCAAAATTACTATAAAATGTAACATTACCAAAAATAAAAGCTATTCTAACTTGATTTCTCACTATGGCTATTTTAGATTTTGAGCCATATAAGGGTGACCGAGTAGAAGTTGAATTTGCCATCCATCCAGACACAAAGAGCAGGAAAGCCCTCTCAGTGAAGCCTCTGAGACACAAACATGTGAACAAGGTAGTATGTTTGCATGTTGTACTTTTCCTTTTGTTTCTGCTTATCCTTCTTTAGTGATAATTTCTGCTGCCCAGAATTCTATTAGATATGTGGGAAAACCTAAAACAAAATATTACTCCTTGCCAAAAAGGAGCCTATTTTCTTATTGAAAAGGCTGCATGGGGCTGGGGATGTGGCTCAAGCGGTAGCACGCTCGCCTGGCATGCGTACGGCCCAGGTTCGATCCTCAGCACCACATACAAACAAAGATGTTGTGTCCGCCAAAAACTAAAAAAAGAAAAAAACTTTAAAAAAAAAGAAAAGAAAAGGCTGCACTTGTGAAAGAAAATAATTAGAGAATAATGTAGAACACACATATAATTATGATCTAAATGATGTTGTTTATTTGGGAGGTATTAAAATACTCCAAGTGCAACAAAAATAGAAATATTGTGTTGCTGGGAATTGCTGGGAAAGAGTGGAGTGGGGCTTGAGATCACCAATAAGAGCTGGCTGTGATTTGGTTAGTGGAAACTGAAAATTAGTTGATAAATTAAATTCATTTTGTGCAATAGTAAAATTTTAGGGAGGAGCTTGGAATGTGGCCAAGAAAGTAGATAAAGTTATGGTCTGGGCTGGGGTTGTGGCTCAGTGGTAGAGCACTTGCCTAGCATGTGTGAGGCACTGGGTTCGATTCTCAGCAGCACATACCAATAAATGAATAAAATTTAAAAATTCGTCAAAAAAAGTTATGGTCTGCTTACCACCACAAACCTTTTTTACTCAATCCTGTTTACTCTTTCAACGTTAACTATAGAGGTTAATGGCCATTGTGGGTAATATTTAGCTCAAGGTCTCCCAAGTTCTCTCACCAGAGACACAAGGACCATCCCCAGAGATTCCAATTTAATTGGCATGAGGTGGGACCTTGGCACTGGTGTGTTTTAAAAGCACCCCTGGCATTGCCAGTGTGCCAGGCAGGTTGGGAAATCAGTGCCAGGGTTGGAGTTGACCCACAGGTTAGAGGCAGAGTGAGGAGGTGCAGAGCTGGTGAGGATGGACTGTGCTTTTACACAACCATTCCCATCATTTCTCATCACAGGTCTGCATTAGCAGTGTACATGGGCGACATGGTGTGGTGGACGACACCATCTTTTTCACTTTGGATTCTCTGAAGCTTCCTGCCGGTTACGTACCTCAACCAAATGATATGGTTGACGTGGTCATAGTAGAGAGCGTTCAGGCCTGCTATATTTGGAGAGCAGTTTCTATGACCCCTGTGCACATATTGTAAAAGCAAAACCCTTTGTTTCCTGTTGGTCTTTATTCCCATGGGCAGTAAAGGGCCTGGTATTAAACCATTAAAGAAAAGCTAAGCTTAGTGAGCCCAAACAATACATTAAATTAGCCTTTTCTTGTAGACTTACTGGGTAGCTCCCTGGGGACCATGGTCCCCAGTCTGGCTGGGCACAATCAGGAGCCACTTGTCAAAAGAAACTAACTTTATTTTTAGAACCACACACGCCAAACAAAACAGCCTCTCAGGAAAAACCCTCAGAGCCTCAACTGCCACCACCGGCTTTCCACAAGCCTCTCTCTCCCACACAAGCTTCTCTCCACCTCCCCCAATCCTCCTGCTCTTGAGGCCGATTGGCTGGGTCACGTGGGCGGAGCCAAAAAAGTCCCCCAATGAGCAGCTCCGTGGTCTGAAAGGGCAGGGAAACAGCCCAATGAGCATCACCGCAGAGGAGCCAATCAGCTAGATGTTGCTGGGGCCGAGGAGCCAATCAGCTAGATGTTGCTGGGGCCGCTGTGAGCCAATCATCAGCCAGCAGCTGAAAGTTTGCTGGCAGCTGGAAGTTTGCTGGGGCCCCTTCGGCTGTGGCTCTCAGCATCTTTTTACTGATCTGTTAGGACACTTGTTAAAATGCCTGATTAAATAAGATAAAAACCTAATGCTGCATTCCCAAGCTGTACACAATGCCAATCATTTTTGGATCTTTCTTAATTTTGCCTTTTCTTCTCACTAAGAATATAAAGTATTCTGCAGAGGCAATGCAAAAAGATAAAAGTTAAGCATACAGCAAAAAAGCAGCTTAAATAGAATCATCTTCATCATTTAAAAATGATAGATGAAGTACGTGGATTACCATATTTCAGCATGTAATAAGTACCACCACATAATTGGTACATCCTGTTTTTTCAGTGCAAAACTTGATTCAGATCCTTTCATCACATAATCATTTCATGGTACAGTTCAGCTTGTCACACTGCTTAAAAGGAAAACAGAGCAGCAATGTATTGACCAGTGGCATATGGATTTGCATTTGTCTTCTCCTGCACTGTGAGCCACAAGCCTAGAATTCTCAGCACACCCACATTGTTAGTATGTTCCTGAAAGCCAACTCACCTGATTTGTTTGTGCTGTAGGAATAACTGGAAACACATCTTGTATGCTTCGTGCTAAGGACAGAGTCTCAGATAACAAAACCAATGATAGTGGTGCAGAATCTTTGGACACAGATTAAAATTTATCAACCTATACTTTGTAACATGGTAGTAAATTTTCTCAAGTATAATATTTCAACTATAATGCACAAATCTATAACACCTAATGTGTTAACTTTGATTTTCAGATCAGAAAAAAAAATGTTTGCTTATCTGTCATGAAAAAATGATATGCGTTGATTTAGACTATTCTATTTCAATGTATATCATAAGTATTTTCTGCTTTCTAAACTTGTACCAAAGAAACTTTAATAATAAATGATCTTTAAGTAATATGAGCACAATTTTATTTTTAAAAAGCTTCTCACAGTCTGGGATTGTGGCTCAGGGGTAAAGCACTTGCCTCACATGTGTGAGCCACTGGGTTCGATTCTCAACACTGCATATAAATAAATGAATAAAATAAAGTCCATCAACAACTAAAAAAAATTTTTTTAAGCTTTACATAATGGTCACTCTCCACCTTTCTGCAAAAAAAATGGCATAATATCTGAGACAACTGCTGGGCACATGCCTGTAATCCCAGGGGCTCAGGAGGCTGAGACAGGAGGATCGTGAGTTCAAAGCCAGCCCCAGCAACAGTGAGGTGCTAAGCAACTCAGTGAGACTCTGTCTCTAAATAAAATACAAAATAGGGCTGGGGATGTGGCTCAGTGGTCGAGTACTCCTGAGTTCAATCCCTGGTGAGAGAGAGAGAGAGAGAGAGAGAGAGAGAGAAATTCTATAAAATGGGTCCACTGTGCTGACCCCCACATGCTTTCTTTGCCAAAAAGAAATTTACCTGCATCCCTGCCTGGCCTACATGAACAGGATATGTCACATTCCTCAACAAATTACCTGTTTTCTGCAAGGAAAGACAGGCAAAAAATAACATTGATAAGAGGAACCCAAGTTACTTTGAAGGGAAATAATTTCGTGAACTTTTTCACTGACCGAATTTTGGAAGATAAGGAAAATTCTATGGTTAAGGATCCAATCAGGGGGCTGGGGTTGTGGCTCAGTGGTAGAGCATTTGCCCAGCGTATGTGAGGCAATGGGTTTGACTCTCAGTACCACATAAAGATGAATAAATAAAATACAAGTATTGTGTCCATCTACAACTACAAAAGTCTAATCAGAACCCTCAGCATGGGCAAGGTAACATAGAATTTTTATGGTAGTGGGGACTTGAAAGTCTTATGTCACACCGTTGTCAGTCAAAAGTCAAGAGGTGGACCTGAGTGAGACTCTCTGGACACTTCCCTGGGATCCCCAATAAAATTGGAATGCAGGAGAGGCACTTTGTGTCTTTCCTCTCTGAGAGGACCCACTCTCTACCTTGAGAGAGCCCGCCTTTCCTTTTACTATCCTTTTAATAAACTCATTGTTGTTACTCTGAGCAACATTTCTAGGGTTTGAAGAGGGGGTCTTCACAATGCCTCAGTTTTTTGGAAAGCCTCAGCTTTGAAACTACCAAGAGGTAGATATTTAGGAAAGTGCCTGTACCAATTCATTTAAAATTCAGGAATGCTGTGTTTGGTGCTAGAGAATATAAAATCATTTTGAATGTAAGACATTTAAAAGAAACCCAAGGAGATCTCACACTGTAGTGAGACAACCAGACAGATGACTCTAATACCATTAAAAAGTCCCCTGGCTCTCCAGAGAGTAATAGATAAAAACCAAAGAAAGACTGATTCAAGATGAGATTTCATAGAACAACAACAACAACAAAAAAAAAAGAATTGGAATATATTTTGAAACTATAATTATTAATACATATTATATACATTAACTGTACAAATTAATTTAATTCACCATGGTATTTTCATACTTTCATGTCCATCCACCTTTCTACCCTCTCTCCCCAGCCTCTCTTTTTTCCATTCCCCCTGACCTCCTTCCCAATTCCTAGTAGTCCCTCTTCTCTTCTCCATCATATCTTATCCAGAGCCTAATTGTACCAGGGCAGTGGTATAGGCCAAAGAAAGTTTCTGGAGAGAGCATGGGAGATAGATGGTTTATTGGTTTGGTGTATTGGGGAAAGCTTACAAGCTTAGACTTGAAAGCTTAGACTGCTCTAAGAAGTGTTCAGTGGTGACAGGCTGACATATAGCACCTCTGTCTCTCACTGTGCTTTGCCAAGAAGTGCCTCATCTCCATCAGGGTGTTTTGTCTAGTGGTGGCTGACTGGACACATATCCTTTCCACAATGCCTTCAGTTCTGCACCCATCTCCACTCAGAGATGGGTTTTAGATGTTAGGCTGCCGGTGCTGTGATGTCATCAGCATTGGCTTGCTCTGTTCATTTGTTTGACCAACACCCTGAGAAGCAACTGTCCTGGTGTACATTTAAGAAAGTAACTTTCTACACATAGTGCTAACTTTCCGTAATTCCCTGTGTGCATAAGAGAAAGCCAGTATCCTTTAAGGTAATATGCATCTCAGACTTTCCAGCCCAGGTTTGCTTTCATTGTTCTCTTAACTTGGTAAGAATTTGGGGAACAGATAGAGATGATTCAGGGTCATGGTGTTTTACTGTCCCCCTTTGTTATAGGGAATATACAGGTGTTCCTTTTTTCTGCAGTTTCCACATGTGAATGAAAACATGCAATACTTGTCTTTCTGTGCCTGGCTTATTTTGCTTAACACAATGTCCTCCAGTTCCATTCATCTTCCTGCAAATAACAAGATTTCATTCTTCTTTATGACAGAATAATAATCCATTGTGTATATATACCTAAAGGAAAGCGAGGAACTGGGAAAAGGGCAAGCGAGAAATAAAGATGGAGACCAGTCAGAGATACACATGACAGTTTATTTGTCAGAGCTGACAAATAAAGGCCATCTCTCCATAGATGGAGAGAGGCAACACAGGCTTGGGATTTGGGACTTTTATGGGGCCAGCTCAGGGATTAAAGCCCAGCAGGTCCTAATGAGGGCTTAACCATGAGGTGGGATTAGTATGAGGGAGTGGTGAGCCTTTCTCAGAAACGCCCTTGGGTGGGAAAGAGAAATTTTTCTTAAAATGGCGATTGTCACTTAAGATGGCCGTCCAGATACTAAGCAAGGACCTTACATATACCATATTTTCTGTATGAATTCATCTATAGACATGCACCGAGGCTGATTCTACACCTTGGCCACAATAAACATAGGTATGCAGAAGTCTGTTTTGTATGCAGACTTCATTTCCTTTGTATATATACCCAAGAATGGTATAGCTGGATTGTATGGTAGTTCTATATTTAGTTTTTAAGGAAACTCCATACTCTTTTCCATAGTAGCTGTACATACATTTCCACCAACAGTGTATAAGTGTTCCTATAATTGTTCCTGATTCTCCACATTCTCACCAGCATTTGTTCTTTTCTTTTTTTCTTTTTGGACTTGGAAAGATTTATTTGAAAAGGCACAGAGTCCATCCCACCCGGGTCCCCAGAGTGGACTGGAGGGAAGGGGGTGGATTTCAGGGGACTTATTTGCTGTGCTGGATGCTCTTGGGAAAAGACTGTGGGCCCAGCCAGAGCTGCAGCAGAATGACAACATGGCATACATGCAGAGCAGCAGGACATAGACAGGTATGTATTCCTGGAGAGCAAAATGTGCTCCAACACCAGCAACCTGTGTCATCTGCAGAGGACACATAGCAAGAGCATGGTGAGATGGGCAGCCAACAGGGTCAGGTGGAAAGTATGATACAGGAATAGGACCTCAGAGAGGGGAAGTGCCAGTTCACTGTCCTATGAAAGAGAAATTGGCAGCCAAGGTCAAAGGAGTGGGATAGATAGTCAATGGGGTTCTCCA